ACTTGAGTTTGAAATATCCCGGGCATAAGGAAAAGGTTTCAAGTGGTTTATTTTGAGGGAGTGGTGGAAAAGGAACTATAGAATCGTGCTCCTTCCATGGATAAATATATTTCTCAGGCATAGGAAGAGATTTTTTGTTTTTTTTTTGCCAAGGGTAAGGACATTAGTGGGGAACACTACATGGTCAGCCTGGGCTGTGTGTTCCATTCAGGGTTGTTTGGTTGGATCCCGGTCTCTTGGCTGCTGCCTCCTTTTGCTCATCATAAAACCAAACCTTTGTGGTTCTGACTGAAGCAATCTGTGTGGTGTTGTGCCGAGTATTTCCCAGGGCTGCTCCAATTGCCAAAGACAGAGAAGAAGGCAGAGTACGAGAACTTCCCAGCAACATCCTGTGAAATGCTGAATTACTTCTAATTAAGCAGTTCCGTTTTGGTTAAAAAGAATGTCAAGTCAGGTCTGTGCTCTGGGGATAGGTGCACTTGCAGAAAGGTGTATCAGCAAATGGATGATTGGTTGGTGTGCTTTAACAGACTCAGAAGGAGCCAGCAGAACTCACGGCTTCTATTTCTGGTGCACTGGGGTTGTTCTGTCGCTGAGTCAGAGCTGATAGGATCTATAGCAGCTACAGAGTGGTTAAGGAAACGTTTCTGCTCTTAAGAATGAGAAGAGCAGTGAGTGTCTGCTGAGGTTACATCTATCATGTGTTTTTAAACACACATAGCCCGATAACCCAGCAAATTACCCACCCTGCGAGGAGACAAAGAGAGATAATGATAACAAATGAGCTCACATTTATGTAACGCCTTTCACGGAGATGGATAGTGAAGTGCTTTGAGAACTCTATTAACGCATCCTACAAACTATCTAATCTATTGTATCCCCACATGTATTGAGCACAGCTTCACTCAGGCTTTATGAGAAAAACATCTCCATTAAGCAACCAGTTTTTGTTGGTCTGCAGAGTGGTCATTTCAGCCTTTGCAGTGGGAGCAGGAATGTGGAAATCTTTACGTTTGGCAGTGACCCAAAGCCACCTTTGGGCTGAAATGCAGCTGTTTCTTCACAATCCAAATTACTTCCACCTTCTTTGCTACCTCTTATCCAAGAATGTGAAACGCACACATTAACTAAACTCTACCCTGCTGATTCACCAAGAAATGCCCTTTTGTAGTTCAGTGGTGGCAAAGAGAAAAGACGGAACCCGCAGTTTTTCTGCTTCTTGTCACTACCTCACCTCTTCTTTCTCTCCCCTTTAATCAGTGAAATATTTCCCCTGATGACAAACCATTGCTTCCACTGAAATGGCAAGGGGAAAATTTTAACCTAGTATTTATTCTGCCCTTTTCAATGGGAGAAGGGAAGGGAAGGGAAGGGAAGGGAAGGGAAGGGAAGGGAAGGGAAGGGAAGGGAAGGGAAGGGAAGGGAAGGGGAATCCGTCATGCTCCTGGTTGGGCCCTCCTGACTAACACAACTCTACACAGAGCACCTGTCAGGCTTAGCACCTGCACAGCGTGTGTTTCCCTATCTGTGTGCATGTGTACCTATGGAGAAGTAAGTGAGGAAGAGGATGCTGTGCTGGGAACACATCTTCCAGTTCTCTTCCTCTCAAAGGGAGGTCACTGGGATTCTTTTACAAGATGGAGAGTCGATCTTATGAATCATTTCTTGATGTGTATTGGACTTGGCACAGAACCACTCCCTTCCCACCTCCTCCTGGTGCCATCCTCCCCGGGCTCCACTTCCCGCTCCCACCCTCCGGTCTCCGACTCACATTTACTGCAGGGAGATGAGCGGGGAAGTCTGTGTGCTGCACATGCATAAATAATAGAAATGATATCAGGCTTAGTTAAAAATAGATATTCTTCCTAATAAATATTTTACCTACTGTCTTTAGGATATAAAGCTTCCCCAACTGAAGTGTTAAAACAAACCTTGTTGTTAGCCCTAAATGCAGAAGGCAGCCCTGGCAAAGCTGTACAAGCAGTGTCTGGCTGTGAGCCCACGCGTGGGGAAGGTGTGTTTGCATGCATGAGCACACAGACATACATTTGCTGTGGAAGCCTTCAAAAGAGCAGCCCTTTGACTGAGCACGTGGACTTTGAACCTGATGTCGACTCATTTGGTGACCTGCGAACGCGACTAATGAAAATTAAAGATGAAATCTCTTGATGTTTATGAATAACTTTCTTCTTTCCATACTTTTCTTCCTTCCCATGAAAGAGTGGAATTAGAAGCAGCTGGCTGAATGGGGCTGAACAATGGGCACTGACACGGGCCGAGATAGGAGACTTTTTCATTAAAAAGAGTGGCAGGTGGAAGAATTTTTCAAAGTGTATTTCTAGAAGATAATCCTTCTGCATTTTGGTCTTTAGGACATCAGTGAATGTGGCTTGCTTGACATGGAGTTTCTATTCCCTAGATTGCCTAAGAACAAGAGCTTTACAGTGCTGCCCTAATCAAGAACAGATTTGTTAAACCTGGGTTCAGCTTAGTAAAAGATAAAAGCAGGGCTGAAACACAGTGGTTTGAGATGTGATGAGAACCCAGAATGAAGTCCTGAATGTGGGGTTCTGCCTGTAAGCATGAGTGTGTGTTTTAGAAGGCTGCAAACCCAGCAAGGTAATAGGTGAGTGCCTAAAAGAGAGAGGTGAGGGGTTCAGACATCAGATCAGAAAAGAAATGCTAAGAGAATGGGGATTGTTTTGTCTGAGGAAGGTATAACAAAGGAAAAAAAAATACTTAAAAACATTTTTCATATATGTAAGAGAGGGTGAAAGAGGATAAACTGTTCTTTCTGCCTGCTGAGGTAGGAATGGAGTGCCTGCTTTAATTTTAAGATGGAAATTAGCTGTCAAGAGCGTGCTGCCTGGAGAAGGCAAGCAGTCTGTCATTAGAGGACTTAAGAGCCTGTGATACTGTAGAAATAGGAACTAAACACTAAAAATAAATAAATCAGAACATTAAGAAAGCCCACACATAGCCCAGCAGAAGCATGTATGTAGCCTAGATGGTGTACTCTTGTGGCATGGAGCTTGTCATGGTCTATCAAAATTGAGTAATATTTTGCCTGAATAAATGCTGCAGAGTTTTTTCCACGATGAGAGAATCCTGATACTGAACTGTGGTGTGAGATGAAAAGAACTTCAGGGGAAGGCTTCATTTCTAACAACTACTTTTATGGAGCTATAAATGGGAGATTATTTATGTCTCCCTTCGGTCCTTGCCCTGTGAAGACTGAAATAAGGCGAGTAGCTCTGACTGAAGCATATAGCTGCAAATGACCAAAGAGAGACCATGACCACTGTCCTGAAGATTTGTGCTATCAGAGAGCAGATGCCATGGGGCCAACTGCTTGGCAGTGCTATTCTTGAATAAATCAACTCATCCCAATATCCATCAAAGCTAGGAACTTAAATGGAGACTGATTCCCTGCTGACCCACTGCGTGTGTCCTTTAGAAAAGGATGTTGATGAGGCTTATTCAGCGATCTAATAAAGTGCAGATATAATTTTTTTCATTTGATATTTACGATCTCTGCAAATTTTGCAAATTCCTTGTCACTAAAAGTAAATGTTATGCCCTTTTCATCACGCATTTAAAAAAAAAAAAAAAAGTATTTAGCATGGAGATTGTCACTCCACCTGGTTTTAGGCACTATCATCAGAGTAGCATCTCCTTGGAGGAGGCTGGAGTGCTGGTGCCTGGGTCAGGAGCTCACATGTGGGCTGGGCTGGGGGCTCCCAGGTCTGAGTGGGAATGGGAAGTGTGGCACTGGCATGCCATGGGCACGCAGGCAGTGATGTTCCAGCCCACTCCTGCATGTGCAGGCTGTGTCTTGTGGCTGCAGGCACTTCTAGTGTTTCACCATCTGTGGAGCTACAGAAGGCTCACAGGGAGCCTGCCAGGTCCCTGTTTTCCAGCAGGGCATGTCTCTGGTTTCCCCCAGCTCTTCTGCAGTGCCCCAGTGATGAAACCTAAGAGTCAGAGGTAGCCAAGGCTCCATCCTGAATCTCTGCACAGAGCCTGGAGGAATGTTTGTTGTGCAGACCACGAGATGAGCAGGGCGTACAGCTGTTCCCTTGGGAGCAGGGCAGCGTTTTGGGAGAGGCCCTGAAATAAAGGAGTAGAGAGCAGGGGGCACAGAGCTTTCCCAGCACAGGCCAGGGGATCAGGGAAAACACCTGGCTTGGGTCTTAACCAGCCGCTGCTTGCAAGCTTTGCTGATGTGAACAGAGGGACAGCTGTGCCCTTCAGAGGTATTTGCACTCCTGCATGCTCTGGCAGGACAGGCACACGCTCCTAATGCTGTCGGCAGCCAGGATTAGCAGCAGCACGGCCGTGAGGTCCATCTGCACTGTGTACGGCAATCACTGCTCCCATTTTGATCGCCGCCGTCAGTGTCCAGAACTCGCTGGAGGTGAGCAGGGCTGCAGCTGTTCCTTCCGACAGCCGTGCTGTGGGGCAGCGACCCGGGGATCCGTGACGGGGGCTTTTGCATGTCGAGTGTCTGTGAGTGTAAACACGCTGAAAGCGTTAATGGAAGTTGATATAAATCAAATTATGCGTGTTTTCTTGGATCGATACCTCAAGATACTGTTTACAACTTCAGAACACCGACGAACAACCCGGTCGCCCGCCGTTTGCAGGGCAGGGCTCGGGCCTACCGCGGGGGGGGTGGAAGTTCCTCAGCCGTCACCATGGCAACCGCGGTCGGCCCGGCGCGGCGCTGTTTGTCCCACGCGGCGCTCCGTAGCGCGGTGCATTGTGGGCCGGGGAAGATGGCCGCCTCCTGGCCGCGCTGCTGAGAAGAGTCGCGCTGCCGGCGCCGCGGGTCGCTTCTGCCCTCCGCTCCCCGCCGCCCGCTCCTGTCTCGCCTCTCACCGATCCGCTCGCGGCCCGCCGGAGCGCGAAGGAGCGCGGAGCCGCCATGGGCCGGACGCGGCTCCCGCCGCAGCGAGCGCGGGGCCCGCGGGGCTAAAGGCGCGAGGGGAGGCCCGGGCCCCGCCGGCAGCTCGGCGCTCCGCGGGGCCGCCCTCTGCCCTTGGCCGTCCTCGGCCCGCTCCGCCGCCCTCCGCCCGCCGTGACCCCGACGCGAGCCTGGCCGGGGGCTGCCGCTCCCTCAGTGCCCGGAGCTCCCGCCTCGATGGAGTCCGAGCTGCTGCAGTCGCCCCTCCTGGGGCTGGGGGAGGAGGATGAGTCGGACCTGACGGACTGGAATCTGCCCCTGGCCTTCATGAAGAAGAGGCACTGCGAGAAGATCGAGGGTTCCAAGTCCTTGGCGCAGAGCTGGAGGATGAAGGACCGGGTAATGGCCGAGGCTGGGAGGGGGTGGACAGGGAGGGAGGAGGGCCGCCCGTCTCCCAGTGGGGCTGTGGGCATCCTGTCTGATCGGGTAACTCGGTTTGTGAGCCCTACGTGTGGTGCCAGGGCTGCAGATAGGTGGGAGACACACAGAGAGCTTTGTTGGGTTCCGTCCAACACAGGGGATGCTGTGACAAATGTGTATCCAGGTTCACAGCAACACGCTGTCTGAATATCTCCCTCGTTTGAGCTAAGTGGAATTTGATGTTCTTCATTGAAGGCAGTAAGATTACTGAGGTCTCACAGGGTGCTGTGGATCAGCAGGTAATGCACAGCACAAGGTGCAGTCAATGCAGTCGTTACACTTGTTTCGTGGTGAAGGTGCAGGAAGTGTTGTGGTTTTGAAGTTTGCCAGCAGCACATTATGTGCAATGTAAAATTAAGGTATTCTCTGTGTGTGTGTGTGTGTGAGAGACAGGAAACAGCTTATGTGAATCTGGAGACAGAAGGTAGTTATTAGATGAAGTGCTTGCTGTATTGTAGAACGGTAGTTCTCTTCTGTTAGAATTTATATCATGTGGCACCAATGAAGCCAAGGGCATCTGGCAGTTCCTCTTCAGAATGTCTTCAACCCAGAGCAGTGTCTGTGTCCCAACTTAGCTTAAGTTAAAAACAAACAAGTAAGCAAACAAAACACCAGAGAAACATAAGGGATAATCAGCTGCAGTCCTTCCATTCATGGAATGTGCTTTGGGTCAGAGGATTCCCAGGGTCTCACAGTTGTGATGCCCAATTTGTGTGTATGGCTATATATGATTTTGTGTGTGTGTGACCAAATTTCTGTTATATTTCCACTTCTCATAGTAATACTCTGACCTTAACTTGGGAACTGCTGGTGAAACTCCTTCCTGTAATTTTTTTCCAGAGATATTAGGACCAGGAATGAGGATGCTGTACGTTAATTTCCTAGAGAAGACTAAACAGTTCTCTGGAGTGTTGGGGAAGCACTGGCAGAGCCAGAATCATCTAAGTGCTTATGTACTGAAAATTTGAGTTGGCAAATCATGAATGGACTGAATTAATTTTTGTTTAGAGTCCAATTTAGATGAGCCACAGAACACAGTTTTGTAGGTACAACTCCTTTGAAGGGTTTTGGCGTGGAAGCGGTTTGCTCTACTAGAATGTGGAGGTGGGATGAGCTTGCTTGTCTATTTTAGTGATCCTTCTGCCTTCCTGTGGAACTTCCTGTTTGCTTATTCGATGATGTGCAGAGCTGTCTTTTTCTAAATTGGGGATGATACTGGCTTGCTAATCAATAGTTACAGCATGAGCATGAGTAAAGAGGTAGTAGTAATCAGTTGTATTTGTTGTAGTGCTTTTCGTATGGCTGCTGAAGACAAAGGGAATCATCTCAGTGAAGAGCAGAGCAGTGGTTACAGCACTCTGTGCCTGTGGGGTTGCAGTTTCTTTTTCTCAGAGTACTCTGTGATGTGAGTGGTTTCACCAAGCTCAGCAAAGTCAGACCTGGAGTGAATTCATCCTTACAGAGACTGAGTCTAATCTTTGTGAAATAAGGAAGTAGAAGCACGTCAGAATGTTTCTGTTTATTCCTTTTGTTTTCACTGTGAGCTTGAAACAACTTTTCTTGATATCAGAAGTGCTGATCATATGTCACTGTGTATTTGGAACAGCTTTATTTAGTATCATTTGGACAAGTTTGCCATTATGTACAGTTAATTTTTGCTGAAGAACACTGCTTTCTTCATTTCTTCCTGAATTCACTGAACTAACTGTTGGGTTTTGTTCTCTGGCTTTATAAAGAATTCCTCTCATCGTGTTATAGCTGACTTCAGAAAGTTGCTTCTTCCTTTTTTCGTTCTGTAGAGCATTATAGCACAGTGAGAAGTCGGTGCTGTAGCCTTAAGTCAGCATTGGAGGCCTCTGACACCTGTCTACAGCAGCTAATCAAATTAAAACCAACATGTAGCTGTCTCTATCTTATTGCTACTTTGTCGCTCTCCCCTGGTTTGTTGCTTCCCTTTCTGGTCCTTGCGCCCTTCTTCACATCTGATTCACCTCCAGAGTGCTTTTCTCTCTCCCAGATGCTACTGAAAGACTTGGAGAGGGCTGGAGGGGATGTACCTGTTATCTCTTGATGTAATTTGAGAGTATGGAAAGCATTCTGTTATTCTGAATTTGATTGGTTCACCTGTCAAAGCACAGAACAAGCCCATATTTAAAGTAGGAAGGTTGGTTAACTGAAAAAATCCCATTTTTGTAAAGTTGCAGGTAAATCTGTGGCATTTTTTCCCCATGAATCATGGAGAAACCACAGGCAGAAGCTGGTTCTGCCCTTATTTGTCATCTTGAGCTATGCTATGTTGTGATCCTTACTACAGCTATAGGAAATGATTCCACTAAGATTTCGGAATGGAATTACTTTTTTTTTTTTTCATCTTCTTCCATTCCTCCAAAAACCCCAGAGTTTATAGGAACTCGAAGGTTCTTTGGAAGGCAGGAATCTAATAAGAGGGAAGAATCAAATAAGGAAGGCAATCAGTAGTAAATCTAGACAAAATAACAGAACATTCTCTCACCCCCTTTTCATCCTTTAGGACTGCTCTGAAGACATTTAATCTTCCGTCTCCTGCTTCTCTGGACTACAGATGCCATCAAAGTGACACTGCTTTGATCTATTATTTATTTAAAGAATATTTTTAACACAAGAGGGTTAGAATTATGCTTTGTATATTGAATTAAATCTCACAGCCTCAGAAGCAGTCAAGTCATGAAAGTTGATTTAAATAAAAAGGTTTCAGATACACCGGGTTTTACTGACAAGTTGTTGCTAAATTCAGGATATTTAAATTAAGCTGTGCTGTACTTATATTGATTTCTAAAATAAGCAGAGAGCGAGAAAGCTGGTTGTAATAGTTTCACTTTAGCGTTTTGTTCCTGCTGCCTCATAACTTGCTGAGTGAGAATTAAATCCTGTTTTTATGAGAAGAGGAATACACAATTAGGTTTCTATGGAAATGCAGATGAAGGCAGTGCATACAAACGCATTTAATTCAGACAAGGAGCATTTACCTGCCCGCGTGGCAGATGTTTCTTGTGGCAAAGGAAAGCAATGAAGAGTGGCTGCACTGTGAGTTCGTGCCTGTTATTCTGGCTTGAGCTCGCTGCTTTGGGGTCGCACCAGGAGGCATTTGGCCACTGAGGCTGCTGCAGCAATGAGCAGGGTCTTGTTAGCCTAGGAGCTCGTGTGTGGGCTGCAGCCTCCCCTTCAGCTTGGCTTCTTGCATCTTAAGCGTTTGTCTTGTGTCTTCTTCTGCGTTTTCACACGCTGTCAACTGTATTTGTGCTTAAGGAACTCCTAACCCAGTAAGTTAGTCCAGGATCTAAACCAAATGCAGTGCAGTTTCTTCTCTTCTCCTGCACGAGGGTGAACTGGTGTGGCTGATTCGGAGCACTTCGCTTGGGTGCTGTGAGGTGGCCCTGTGAGCAGTGGTGGTGATGTATCCCTCCTCAGGCTGTGGCTGAAAACCACTTTAGGTTAGTGGTAATAGAAGTGATTGTTGCAGTGCTTTAGGGGTGTGAATCGAGCCGTAGCGTGGGGCACTGCTTGTGGATGGATGTCTTTCAAAATAAAGACCAAAACAAAGCAACTCAGCTTCTCCCCATTCGAACCCCCTGCTGCAAGTAATGAGCGCTGCCATCCCACTTATAGGTCTGCATCTCCTCTTACCTAGAACAGAGGTCATTCTGGGTTAAGATGGCTTGTATTGATTGAATAGAGCTGGGAAGCTGGTGCTGTATCTACCACTGCCTACAAATGTTCTTATCTCTAAGCAGAGAGAGCAGATTTCAACAGCTCTGAAGAGTGTGGCTGGTCATATTTTGAATGAAAAAGCTCTTGCCGTTATACAGCAGTAACAAACACTGAAATCTTTAGCTCAGTCAATCTCCTATCCCATTGATTTTGCTGGTAGGGAGATGTATCTGTAAGGTGGAGGTAATAATTCACTTCTATCAGTTACAGTTGTGTTCCTGGTAAGCTTAGATTAAAATCTGAAGACGCTCTGCTACATCTGAGCATCACACTGAGATGTTTTTTTCTTCCGTAATTTTAGATAGGAGGTTTTGAGATAAAGCTTTGTGTCAGCAAACCTAACTTATGGAATTTCTGAAACTACAGAGTAAAAATATACTTCTTTATTCACCTGGATTTAATCATTCGATCTCCTTTTTCCCAGGTTTCCAAGACCAGGGGACTGTATGAGGAGATTTCTCCTGTCTGTTAGGAATTGGGAAACAAGCCCTTTTTTTTCCCCTCTAAGCTTTGGCTTAAGTCCATGTTTAAAGATTGTAATAGGCAATGCATATATAAAGCTCCACAAAGCCATGAATTTGCTATTTCTACTTCCTCTAGCTAGGTGGAGAAGAAAATAATTATTGCAAATCTAAAATTTTAATGGCTTAATACACAGAAATGTCCAGGAGTCTCGTTCCCTTAAATAGCTCCTGGAGAGTGCTTCGTTGTAATTATATTTGCAGTATGAGTAATAAGCGATAGAAATGCAGTGTAATGTGTTGGAAAGGAGCTGACAATGTTATCGCTAGCAAAGATAATTTTAGAGTGGAGAGAGACTTCACCATTAATGTGAAATGACAGAAAATTACCTTTTTGCTCCATTCAAGAAAAGTGCAGTGAGAGGATGAGTATTCTGTATGCAGCACTTAATTTTTTTTTTTTTTTCCTTGGGTGACCACTTTCAGAAGCCCTTTGCTAATGCTTGACTAGTTCTTTTTTTTTGTTTTGTTTTGTTTTTCCTCTGCTTTTGTGCAGCTGCAGGAATTCAAGGACAGCTCACTTCCTTGGGGCTCTGTCCTTGTTTGCCTGGTGGCTCATGAAGATTTTCTGGAGAGGTTTTAGGGTTTCCTTGTTTTTCCTCTGACACATTGTTTTAATTGGCTGCTGCTGTGCTGGTCTACCATGCAGGTCTACCCTTGAATGTTTCTGAAGGTAACAGCACAGTAAGGCCACTGGTAACAGAGAGATGATTGATTGTGCCTTGTAGCTTTGAGACGTGTTTCCAAGTATTCTCAGCACCCAGGGCCGTTCTGGGAATGCAGCCTCACTTGGCCCTGGCAGTGTTTGGGCATGGGTTCTCCCAGTGCAGCTGTGCCTCCTGGAAGCTGGGTGCCTCTTTGGCCTCTCCATGCTTTCTTTCACTGCTTAACAAAGGGAAATAGATGCTTAAGGCTGTTCTGTTTCCTTGTATGTCTGTTGCCCTTGCTTAATGAGTCTGAGGCTGCTTTGCATCATTTCTTACCCCTTCTCTAGAAGGAAGAATTTGAGATTCGTGAGCCAAAACACATTCAGTAATCATTTCACACTCATCCTGGACAGCTGGGCTGTTTAGAAAGTTGCTGTGTGCTGATATTTCTCAGGTATTCTGCCTTTCATCCCTGCTATGGCCGTGACTCAGCCTGCCTCACGTTAACACTGGGAGCAGTTCTGTTGTGCACAATACCACTCATCTCTGAGGGCACCTTCAGGGGCTGAGGTCACTGGGCCAGGGCATGCAATTGCTGCTGTTCCCCATCAGGATGAAGTGCACACTGCTCTCAGCACATGAAGAGAGGATGTGTGCTAACCTCGGGTACCGTCTGGCAGCAGCAATTAACCTGCAGCTGTAAGGAGCACTTAGGATTTGTGCTTCTGTGTTTTGTTTTGTTTTTTTTTTTTTTTGCATTTTGCTGTTTTTTTCCTTTATATCAAACACCTTGTGCATGGATTTATTATTGAAATGTAGAAAACTTCCACCGTGCTTTAATAAAGAGTAGAATGTCCTGATAGTTCCTGTGTTACAAAGCTGTTAATATGGTACAGAGTTTCTGGTAGTACGTTCTAAAATAGTTCAGAAATGCAAAATGCATTATTCAAAGCATTGGCTTCAGTCTTTCTTCTGATTTGCAGCAATTCAACGTCACAGATATTGGATAGGAGTCAGAGAGGAGCATGGGCGAGCTGTAATTCCTGCTAAAGATGTGCTCTTTATTAGCAGAACAAATAGTCATGAAATATAATACTTTATGGCTCTTGTGGGCAGGTAGACAGAGGGGAAATAACCCCATTTGTCTTTGGGATCAGTTAGACTTAACTTTTCATTACTGGCTCGCTGTCTGTTTTCAAGGAGAAATGCTTATTTAAAACACAGAACTTGGGAATATGAGATAAATAGTGGCTCGTTCAGCACAAGTCACAGGTCAGACATTACTAGTAAAATATTGAATAACAAATATTAGGCCGTGAACGGGAAACAATAAATAAACAAGACAGCTGATTGCTTGGCAGGATGTGTTCTCCTGAGGGAGCAGTCTGTGTGCTCTGTGTCCCGTTGCTTTCTGTGCTGCCTGCTGGCTTTGGAACTTCTGCTGGGGATGGCAGCACCGTGATGCCCTGCAGCACCATGTTCCTTCTGAGGCCACATGGGTTTGTGATGGCTGTGATGCACTGAGGGGTCCTGCTGGATGGCTCAGGGCTCTGTCTGGGTGTCTTGTGCTGCTGGTTGGTTGGTTTTTCACTGGTCGTGCTGTTGGGTGCTGACCTTCTCTACAGACGTGTGTGTGGTTGGTATGCAACACCTCTGTGCTGCATGGAATAGAATTGCAGAATTGTTGTGTGTGAGTTGGAATATCTGGAGAGAGCTCTGTGGAGCTCTTGGTTAGTATGGTTCCTTTTAGAAGTCAGGTCAGTGCTATAATATACAGAACTTGTTGAAAATGTTAAAGCTTTGAGGTCGTTCTTCCTATTTCTAGAGCTCGGTATCACTGTGTTACCTTGAAAATAATGCATCTTTTTCTTGCAAATAACCTGTGGTGCAGCAGCAGGGCTGGGGCAGGAGCTCTGTGCTGTTCTGTGTGGGTCACAGCATGAACCCAACCCAGGAATTTTTCTTGAAGACTTTTTTTTTCTATGCATGCAATATGAAAGATGTCAACACCCAGGTGTTGGGATAGCTGATTTTTGAAAGTAGCAGTATGGTGTTCATAGACTAAGTGGGGAGAAAAGAGATGAAGGTGAAAGGGCAGCATGCAGAGAGGGGGGCTGGACCTAGTGGGGAGGGCTTGCTACAAATGGGGTCCTGTGAAGCTCACCCTCTCTGGCCACTATCTGCACTGCTATGCACTGCTGTCACTCCTTTGGGTTTCTTTCTCATGCTGGCTTTCTGCTCCAGAGCCCCTGTCAGGCTGCAGGGTTTCCTTCCTGTCTTTTCCCCTTCTTGGTGTGAATAGTGTTGTTCTGTTCCACTTTCAGCTTTCTTTATAAATTATACATTTGTGTGGCTCTAGCTTTTTCTATGAGTGTGCATTTTGGGCTTTTTTCCTGCTGTTCTGAATGGTAATGAGCACCCTGGGGAAGCAGGGCTGCAGGTGGCTCTGCTCCACCAGGTGCAGCACTTTGCCTGTTCTCCTTTGGTGCTGGGACACAGCTTTAGGTACTGGGATGAAGGAGTTTAGAGAAGAGAACGAAGCACTAAAATAATCCTTTTCAAGTTATATTTTTAACCTGCTATAGTGTTTAGTAATTGGTTCAGTGCAGGTTTTTGCTCAGAGTTCAGGTGTCAGTGGGTACCTTAGCTGCTGCGTGTGTACCAAACTCATTGACTGAGGAACACAGCTGCAAATTGATCACAGTGTGGTTTATCCCCTTTTTTTTGGCCGTAAGCATCCAAAAGAGCACCAAATCTGGATGATTTTGACGACTTGAGAGGAAGTGACTAAGACAGTGTCTGTCTGAATTGCCCATATCATCGTGTGTAACTATCAGATGTCTAATGGCTTCCTTGGTCATTGGGTATTTCTCCTTTTATTGGTTTTAGTTTTAATATTAGAAAGGATATAATATGTTCTAATATTGATCAGTGACCCTGAGTGGCATATTCCCATGTTTTAATAATGTGTTTCCATTGAGCAGTGACTGTTTAAGATGTGTAGAAGAAATCCAATGACATCCATTTCCATGCTGTATTAAAGATATAACGTGTAAAAATAGACATGTAAAAACTAAGTACTATTCTTGTAGAGTGAGTACTGTTCTATTAAAACAGTATTCTACTGCTCTATTAAAAAATGAAAAATGTAATCAGCCTTGCCTTGCTTCAAGTAATCCGTGTTAAAGAGCAGATAACAAAGCATAGCTGAAACTTCAGAATTTATAGTAGTGGTAAAATTTCAACCCCAAAACAGATCAGATTCCTTGCTAAGTGAACATTTTATTGTCTTTCCAGATGAAGACTGTTAGTGTTGCCTTAGTTTTGTGCCTAAATGTCGGCGTGGACCCTCCTGATGTGGTGAAGACCACTCCGTGTGCCCGCCTGGAGTGCTGGATAGGTAGGTTGAGAGCTGCTGAGCTCTAGGGAACTTCTGGCTAACAGATACTGAGGTATCTTATGTATGGTCATCTCAAAGTTGTGTGCTTCCTGAACTTAAAACTGGGGTGAGCTGAAGGAAGTCTGGTGGATGATTTGTATGTGTCCATCAGTAACTGCTGCCATAGATCATCTTTTCTGCTTTCTTTTAAAATGAGATATCATGGAGAAAGAAGAACAAGCTGCTAATTAGCTACTTACCCTTTTTTTTTAATTGCTGTAGATTTATAAGTATCTAAGGAAATTTCTGAGCAGTTACATCTTTAGAGTACTCTGCTCTGCAAAGGTTTAAAGTCACCCTGTGTCACGTAATAGAGAAATGTCTTGAACATGTGTGGACTTCACTGCATTTTGAGGTGGCAGCTCTGAGGCTATTTGGAATTGGGAGCATAAATTCAGAAGAGCTGGAACTATTCCCAAGAATGTCTTCCAGCAGTGCCAACACATGGGCTTTTTATTTTGATGCAGTGTTGGATAACTTCCTAATTCTTTGTTAGGAAGCAGAAAGTTTCCTTGGTTTTAACATTGTCTGATTTTCAAGATGAGGTAAGTTTGAAATAATATTAAAGAGGAAATACCTTGTGTAAGAAAACAAAGATACTTGGATTTCATATTGAAATGGGAAATATCCTGTCTTTAGCACACATCCCCATAATCCTACTTCTTGAGGTGCATAATAGGCTGCAGCAGCAAATTCATTATTGTACAAAATAAACTTATTGAAAAAACAAAACCAGAAACCGAAAAACTTTAAGAACATCTCATTTCTAACTTGCTTTATGAATCTGCAGCGTCTCATTTTGTTGTTTTTTTTAACCAAAAAATGCTGATGACTTTATAGCAATTAAAAAACCATGAGCATGCACTAACAAATATGTCTAGTCAGTGGAGAGAACAGCTCCTCGTTTCTCACTTATACATGGGTAGAGAGCAAAGAGAATGAGGAGTATTGCAGAGTCATTAAAATAAAGTTATTAGTGCTTATCATCAACAAAGAGAATTTTGAATGCAGTTTTTTAATTAAATTTTTAGTGTATATCTGCACAAGTATTCATTTCCATTGCTGCTTCCTTCAGAAACTTAAAGCTGTGTAATCTGCAAAAATACCCCTGTTTTCTCTTCTGTATATCAGTCTTAAGAAAAGCTAATGGTGTGTACTATGTGTGGAAGCATAATGTCTCTGCCAGATGTAGAAGACAGCGTGGAAAGCATTTTGGGGCCATTGCTGTTACTAAAGGCTGAGCTGTGATCACCAGCCTGTGTGCTCTGCTCACAAATGGCCATCAGCATCTCTGCCAGAAGCCAGCTGCAGCTCCTACTGTGTTTCCAGATGTGCCTTGGAACAACAGGAGTGTCGTGGTTCCCTCCAGAGCTCAGCCATGGCTGGTGTTGTGCAGGGCTGGTGATGCCAGAGGCTCAGGGAGCTCTGTGCTGAGCTCAGCCTCGGCACTTTCAGCCTCCTGCACTGCTGTGTGGGCAGTGTTCATTGCTCTGAAGGCCCTCCCAAGTTCACTAAACTGTTATTCAGTTCAATGGCACCTGCTTGAAACTTGCCTTAAATATCAAGGGCACTGTCATGGTTCAGAGTGCTGGAGATTGCTGCGATACATGGAGATGAGTGCTGAAACTGCAAGGTCTGCAGAGAGGATTGAAGTGTTTGTTCTGTTCTGATGGTGCTTCTGGAGCAGCAGCTGCAGCTAAACTGAAAGAAGTGTGCATCTTGAAGCCTGAGCAGAAAACTGACTGCTTGTGTTTGTTTTCTGAGTGGCAAAATGCAGATGATACGTTATCTCAAATCGTTCTGCAGAAGGATACTGTATTTCAAATAAAATCCTGGGTTTAATGCATGTGGGAAATTCTGCTTTCATCGTACCTGGTTGTGTTTTGCTTTTAATGGTACGAGATAGAATATTCATAAAGATGATATTAAAAATGTCATTGATTCAGTTAATTGCTTTTAAAATAATTTGTATTAAATTGCAAAGTATTAGCTTCTAGATTTTTGGAAACTTGTTAAGTGTCAATTATATGGCTGTGATTTTTGAATGAAGCACATAAGCTGATATTTTACTCGCTATGGATTGCAGTAATTATCTGGTGATAAAACTAACTTCTTAAAATGGTTAAATATTTGATGATTTTTTTTTTCTTGATAAATGCAAAATCGTGCTTCATTTACTACCATTGCTTCCTGCTTCAGACATTGCACACCATTTGTGATTTTTATGTAAGCTGTTTCAATTTTGGTCATTATTTACTACGGAAACTTCCTGTCAATATTAACAGCAAGAAGTGTTAAGCCTCGCTTCTCTTTCAAAACAGTTGTATTGATTACCTTTGTGAGACCTTCCTCCACGTTTGACAGGCTCTAGTGGTTTTTAATTTGTATTTGAAGTGAAGAATTTGAGGATAATTTGGGTCTCCCAGGTTATAGATCTGAATTTTACAAAATCATAATGTGGTGTTGCTAAAGGCTTAAATGCGTATAGAAGTGGAAATGAATTTGTCTTGAGTGATTCAGCCGTGGTCAAAAAGATTCATTTGCATTTTATTTCCTAGATCCTCTGTCAATGGGTCCTCAGAAAGCTCTGGAAACCATTGGTGCGAATTTGCAGAAGCAGTATGAAAACTGGCAGCCAAGAGTAAGTATTCCTGGGGCTTCCCCTGTGAGCTGCAGGCATGGTGCTCCTCCAGGGCTGGTGCTCAGCTCAGACTGAATCCAAGCTGCATACCTGTTACAGGGCATGGTGTCTGGCAGCAGTGGTTGCTGTCATCATCCATCCATGTGAATAAATCCTTGCAGGCTGTCAAACTGTCCTATTCTCTAGCTGGTGTCTCTCTTGGCTAGTGCTTAATTCAATCATGTCTGGGATATTTGTTTTAAGTACTGCGTTCTACAGCTGAATTCTTAAGTAATGTTCTTGATTTTTGAGATGTTCTCTGATCTTTCATTCTGAGTTTGTGGCTTCCTCTGTAATAAAAATGTGTTTGCCCTCAGCTACTTCAGAAGTGTGTGTCCCAGTGCTCATCAGCACTGTTCTGAACTTGGTGATTGGAGAAAGTCAATGTGGTGCAGTTAGTAGTGGAGGAGGGCTTTCGGTTTTGGTGACTTCAAAGCTTTGTTAATGTCTAATTCAAACCATATAGAATTAGTACAGTGTGTATATAAGCTTTCGAAGAATATGGGTTTAAGTTTTTGAAAGTGAGTGTTCTGAATAGTAATGTAAATAAGAAGTTAAAGGTGGCAGTGCTGGCTGTTCGTTTCCTGTTTGTAACAACTCCATCTCACTTTTGAGAGAAGTACATTGCTTCTGGGTGCTTCAGTGTGCATGGTTTTGTGTGTTTCTGTATATAAACTACACAGAGATCTCCAGAAGGAAATGTTATGTCTGCAGCATGCTTCAGATGGATACAGGAATCAAGCTGTAGCATCGTGTTCACAATTAATATTCCCCAGTATGTTTGTGTCCTTATCTGTATGCTGTAGGCAGTTTGGATCAGAATATTCCTCTTCAAAGTACCTTGACTATTGACTACTAAAGCATAAACTTATGATTATAAACAAATAACATGTAACCCAAACAGAAAGAATAACTCCATTGAATGAGCTTGCCTGTAGATTTGCCTTTTCCCTTATGGAGCAGCACTAATTCTAAAGAGCCCATCTTCATTTTAAGGAGGTATGGACCTTTTAAGGGGACACTGTAGGATCTCTTCTTGTTTTCTTTCTCCACATTTTCATTCCTTCATAAAGGACCAATGCTTGTGGATAAAAGACAAATGGCTTTGGCTTTGCAGTAGTAAACAGTTTTCTTCTTTGCTAGGCACTGGGAATGTTTTTCACCAAAAAGGGTAGTTGGGCTGTGTGTGGTTCAGAACGAATGCTGGATGCTTCTTCATTGGATGCATTGAGTCCCTTCCTCTGCTTTTTAACTCAAACCTAATGGAATAATAATGTATTCTGAGCAGTCTGAACATAAATAAGTGTAGTATGGGCTCTTTACCCCTTACCTGTGTTGGATGCTTCTCTGCCCCCTTATTCAGGGTTGCCCAAGTAGAACTTTATCTTTTGTCAGCAGCTCGTTACCTGAAGGAGACCTGCTGTATTAAGCAGTGAAATGCTTACATTACCAAATCTTAGGGTAATCTGCTACAGAACACTTCAAATGTGAATGTTCAGTGTGTATGCTTTTTTTCTGAAGCGTTGTGTGTGTTCGTGTAAGCAGGTTTACTCTTGAAGCATATATGGTGTGTGTTTAAGGCAGGAGAATTTCCTTTTGCATTATCGGCAATTTTTTTTCCATCTCTCTCTGCCAGCCCAGAGATTTGGCAGCAAACACAAACAGCGTCTGAAACCAAATAGGAAGAGTAAAACATCTTGATGCAAAGGTGACAACGAAGCTCTCTCTGCTCCTTAGCACGGCAGTCCATATTAGTGAGGAAGGAGGGTCAGGCTCCTGGAAGCAGCAGGCACACTCTGTGTGGGCTGAGCTCACGCTGCCTCGTAGAGTTTGCACAAAACATGAGGCAATTACCCAGCTTGGATGTTTGTGTGCAAGGTGCCTGCTTCTTAAGAGTAAATCACCGCCCTTTGAAACATTGCAAAGCTAAACACGTACTGTTTTATTGCACTCTACAGGGCTCTTGAGTTTTCTGCAGTAATAAAGAGAAGTTGATGTGCCATCTGCAATAAAACAATAGGAACATTATTGAATTTCCTAGACCTTTCATATAAATACTAATACAGCTAGTTTTGTCTATTTCTCAGTGTTTTGGAATGGCAGAAGAATTGATGGAAAGAAGACAATTCTGGGAAAACTAGGTGTGTTACTGGTTTGTTACTGTGGGTCCTTAAGCCAAGAAGTGCCTGTCATTGATATCTTACTGTGGATGCACAAATAGTGCAAACTGCTGGTAAATGGATCGTGTCAGTCCTTCCAGGACTGTTCCTATAATAGATGTTGTGTGAGAAGTCCTCTAACATCGCTACCAGCGCAGCCCTTGTCTGCTTGTGACTGCAAGATGTTTGAATAAATGCCCGTACTTGTTACATACAAATAGTTTAGGTGGAAAAGCCTCAAAAGGGACAAGGATGAAAAGTCTTTGTTTCTGGGAGCTCCCGGGCTGCACAGCTGATGCATATTTCCCTTCAGGTCTTATCGAGCCCCTTTCTAAATAATTTATCAGCTTGCCATGGCTTGAAGTATTTCTGCTGATTAAATTTAAGGCTTTGCTTTATTGTTGTGTAGCTACATAAATTTGTGTGCTGCAGGAGTAAAAAAAATAACACTTCAGACATTCTTTTATCTGCAAAATACTGCAGTTAAACAATGTTCAGTCACCTCACTGCTATTCTCAAATGAAAATTTGAATGGGGGAAGGACGTAGCAGATGACAAAGGTGCAGACACACGGCGAAGAATTCATCTTTATAGAATTTTTCTGAACAAGTTAGAGCTCTCGCAATTCAGTGCGGAGATAATTCAGGTTCCAGTGAATGAGTGGAAAGAAAAACAGACAGCCCTTCTCCTGTATTGCCACGTGCCAGGGGTTTTGACTTCTGCTGGGCGCTGAAGGGGTTAAACGTGAGGGTAATCTGGAAAGCAGGCTCAATTACAGGGGATAAATGGGGTTGCTTAAGCAGCTGAGAATGAAAGGAGGAAAAGGCAGTGAAAGTGAAGAGCTGGGACCCCATAGTGCAGGTCTGGGAAAGCGTCCTTGTGATGGCTGTGCTTGGGGGAATCTGCAGCTTGCTGGGTGAGGGGATGCTGGAGGAGCTGGGCAGAACCAGAGCACCGGTTGTGGGACCTATGTTACAGATTTGGGCCTGCAGCATCAGGAGAGCACCGCGATAAAGGAGAGCCCTTAGCTGGGATAATGCGTTGTGTCACTTTAATTGCCTGCAATAAAGTACTCGTGGAGGTTCTTCTGGAGATTCATGTGCTCAGTGTTTAGATAAGAAAGTGATCACACTGGAATGGTAGCTCTCTGCTTCTGGTTTTCTTCTGTTACCCTTTGCAGAATGCTGCCTTTGTCAGGTGCACAGCAGTGAATGACTCGTAGGAACACTTCACTAGTACTGGCAGTGAGAAATGAGTGTTTTCCACATTGTTTGTTTACAGCTTTAGTTTTGGCAACATTGCAAGTTAGACCATTCAAATGGAAGGCGCTTTCCTCAGTTAAAAGTCAACAGTTTGTTTGCAAATAGAAAAAAACAAACTGAGAGTGCTGCTGCACTGAGATGCTGTGTGGAGGTGAGCAGAAGCGTGGATCTTCACGAGCAGAAGCGACTGTTGCATAAGTCCCAGTTCACATCCATTTATCAGCGCTTGCAGAACTCGAGTTCTCTGCTGTGATACTGTACAGAGGACAGAGAGGAGGAGGGTGCAGTTCAGCACTGTTGCTGCCCTGCACAGCACCTGAGCAGTGGATGGAGTGTGCTTTTCTGTGTTCTCTGGGCTGCAGCTCTCAGAGCTGGCATGCAATACTTCTGTATGAAAGCACCAATTGCCCCTTGTCAAATATGAGGTTGACCTGTGATTTCTGGCTTCGTTCTTAGATGCCAGACGTTGTTCCCCCCCCCCCCTCCTTGTAATGGACATCTCATTTCTTGGCTTCTGGCCTGCCACAGAAGTGAGTTTCCTTGGTTTCCATTCCTGCGTATTCACCTTCATATGAGAATGGGGCTGTGTAGCCCAAGGCAGAATTGTAGGTTGAATGATGCACAGTTCGCATAATTCAGGATCTGGTATAAAGTAGTCTGGAGAATATGCTCATTAAATTTGCATGAAATTACAGCTTTTCTTTTTGTCAGCTATGGCTTCTGACCGCTTTCTTTATTTCAAAACTGCCTGGAAAATTTTGCCTTTCTCTCATCACGGCCTATAATTTGACACTCTTGTGATTTCTGCTAGTCCAAATGAATTCCAATCGCCCTCCTATACCAGATGCTTTTTGCATCTGATAGAAACTTTCCCAGTTCTACCATTGGCAGGTTAAAAAAAAAAAAAAACAGCAAAAAAACCAGTTTGTGAGTTTCCTGAAAGTAAGCTATCTCAGAGATGCTTACCTTCCTCCATGACTTGTGAAGTGCATTAACACTGGAGGCACAGGGCTTGCCTCATTTAAAACCAGCATTTTACATTTTTGTGAAACCTTTCTTTTCCTGAGGGTTTTTGCCACGTGGGGGTCTTTGCTCAGCTAGTGGTGAGACAGCTGAGGTTGTGACTCCCATAGGTGTGCTTTGCTAAGGCTTAATTTCCTTTTAATGGCACTAGAGCAGCTTAGAGGAGCTGTGCTGTGGAAGAAAGCTCTGTGGAGCCAGGCTTTGCTGCTGGGCCCTGGGAGATCTGGAGCATGGAGCCCTCTGAGCTGCTCTGAGATCCAGCTGACTGGTTCTGCTGGGACCTTGATTTTGTGTGGGAACCTCTATTGCAAGCTGAAGGTCAAGTGTGCTGTGGAATTTGGGATTTTTACTTCCTCTGATAAGTCACTTAATGGAGTGTGACAGGTTTGTACCTCTCAGAGATGTAACACAGTGAGATCTGTTGTTTGTTGTCTGTGCAGCATCTGTTCCCCACTCACCTTCCTGTCCTTTCAGGCCAGCAGCTCTGGGATTTCTCTACTTCTCCTGGTGACAAGCA